CAGGATCAGAGACCGCATGCGTGAGCATGGATGCCTGATATTGTGGGCAAAGCCTGAAACAATGGGTGTTCCTAGCATGTCAGGCATTGCTTTGAACATTGAACCACTGAGACTTCTTGCCCAGTGGTGGTGCCCACAACAAAAGCATGCCAAGTCACCTTCTGTGACACGCTTGAAGCAGGAGGCCCGGCTCTGGGTATTTTACCATGGGAATGTTATGAAAACTGCTCACAATATTTTTGTTTAACGGTTACCAATATTTACACCACCATGCACCCATTAGGTCCATTAGCTTTTGGTTTATATCTTAAGAGTATTTTCAACCAGTGCTTGGTAGGTCCATCGCCTACGGTCAATTTGCTCCCTGGTGGCCGATGCTCCCAAAATTCACCATGATGCATGGGGCTTGAAGAAGTTATTTTCGTATGCCTGTCGCCGATCAGGGGGTGACAAGGAGTTTGCCGAGGGCTCTCCGCATAGAAAAGCTCTTTAGCTGAAGGTGCAATTTGTTTGTTCTATTTGTTTTTTTTGTTGTTGTGTGTGTGTCCTATACTATACCCTTGGACCCGTTGATTGCACGATCCATGCCTCCAGTGAAGCGTTACAAAAGATGGGTCCTGTCATTGGTTCAACACCTCTATATATAGTGACCTGTGCCTGCACTTAGGACTCGACTGTTGAGCCTTTCTATGAGGAGCTCTTCAAGTTCTGGAATGTCCGCCTGCGACGTGCCAGTGAACCATCACCATCGACAGTTGTGGAAGTGGAGGACTCCGATGCTGAGGATGACCTGTGCCATTGGGTTGTGAAATCTGACCCCTACCCCTCCTCACCTGTGAAGATGGCAGCTGAAGCTGGTGCACCTGTTGAACACAGCCTGCAGGGGGCTATCACAGATTCTGGTGCATCAGTTTTGGAGGAACCTCTGATTGCAAAAGAAGAGGGTGCAATGCGTGACCAGCTCAAGACTGAAGTCGACAGTGGGGAGGCCACGAAGAAAGTGTCAACCCAGAAGGGCTTCAAGGAGCGCAGTACAAGTCTATCAAAGCAAGAGATTGAGGACAGGATCGCATACCTTACGACACCTGGTTTTTTGATGTAACATGTTTGCCAGGGCCAGCTTGGCTTTTGCTCAGAGTTAATATATATATACCTGCATGGGTATACGGAGACCAACACAAATAATGCCAACTAGACCATAGTTGGCCCTATATTTGTTTTTTTAGTGCTATCTCAACCCCTCTTTGTTGGAATGTTTGGTTAATTTTGGTTACTTGCAGACCTTGGTTGCCTGCTTGCCCCAGTAAGGAAACTCCTGAGCGACAAGGCCATGAAGAATGTGAGCACTGCAGCTCTTGACTCTGAGGATACTCAGGTGTATGAGGCATCTCCCATTGCTGCGGGACTCCAAAAGACGAGTTCAGTCATTTCCTTGGACGATGACTCTGACACAGAGCCACCGACTGATGATAACCTTCGCCGGTCTTTGGCCACAGAGTTTTCAACCGTTTACAACGCAGGCCCGCTGGTCATGAAGAAGCAAACTTTAAAAAGTTTTGGACATAGTGTTGGGGTGGGTCGATATTAAATTTCCTTATATAATTACTATTAACATGTTAGCGCACACTGTGTCAGGTGGACATGCGATGGGAGATGATTGGACCGACTCACAAGTGCCTATGGATGGATATGGGCCGCTGCAGCTTCATGAGCCAAAGGAGCAGGGTGAGACAGAAAGTGGTGCGAACAAAGCGTTGGCACAATCTGAAGAAGCTCCACAAGCTGGGTCTTCACAAGTTGAGAAGCTTCCATGTGGTGAAGCACCCTCCGGTCATTCAACTGGCATCCTTGAAAATCCAGTCGTGAAGGAGCCTGACGAGGTCACCAAGGAAGAGCTTGTACCAGCACATCTGGAGCCTAAGGAGGTCACCAAGGAAGAGCTT